TAAATAGGGTGTGTTAATGTCATTCTTGCTAAATCAGGAGAGGTGTATTTAGAGGCATTGTTCTTACAGGGCTCAGCTTGGATTACTTAGGAAATTCAGATCTCTCCTACACCCCTGGTGCCTTGTGAGTGAAGAGTCAATATGTGCTAAGTAAACATGTCAGTTAGAATTGTTAAACACTGACTTGGGACAGCAAGGCTGGTGGTGATCTCTCTTCCATTGGTGTCTCTACAAATAAGAAAAAGACCACCTGCTAGGACTGTTATAGGAGAGAGCTACCAGCATTGATTATGGCATGGCATATATTGAATGGAATTTGAAGCTCAAAGTTTTAAAAGCTCTTCATTTCCTTCTCACTATTCACTGAGTTCAGAGAAGTCTTTTCCCCTTCCCAGTTTAGGACCCAGCCCAACACATAGCTACAGAGAAGCAGCAAAGCTATCAGAGTGATGGACACATAGAAAAGGTTTATCCCTGGGGGATAGTGAGAGGTTGTTTAATGGACACAAAACAGCTAGACAGGAAGAATAAATTCTGTGAATGAACAGTTGAGCTAAGCATCTATAATTAACAATAATTTACTGCATGTTATCAAATAGCTAGAATAGAGGAGATTGATGTTCTCATCACAAAGAAATGATTAAGTTTTTAATGATGAATATGCTAATTACGTTGATTTGACCATCACACATTGTATACATGTATTGATATTCAACGTTGTACCCCAAAATATGTATAATCAATATATTTCAATAAATAAATACTATAAAAAATTAATTTCACTTCTTTATAGATTACCCAGTTTCAGGTATTCTGTCATAAGCCCCAGAAAACAGACTCAGGCAGACATTTATACTAAGGTACATGTTATTATTTTGAAAATATTAAAAAACTACTTCTCATAAGATTTGGAGAGATGGCCAATCTTATGTGCAACTGTGTTAGCAAACATTTCTAAAACTTAAATTAATTTGCCAGTGAGTGCACAGAACCTGAAAGTTCAGATTTTATAATGAAATCATTCCTCTTTGAATTACTAATTCCAAAGAAATACATTTTTAAAACGATCAACATGACAGTCTTTTTCACAGGGTTATAAAGTTGTGAAATCTGACAACAATGCATTATTCTTCAGTAAAACAGTAACAGGAAATTATATCCGCCTGGTACTAAATGGAGAAACTACTTGGAGGTAAACCATGAGGTTGAGGGTTACCATAATTCATTTCTCTACTTTTCTCTTGATTTTCTAAAATATTTTCCCCCTGTATCTATTGTCTATGTTTTCTCCTAGACATGAGCCATACATTCTGCTCTCTTTGCACATCTCATTTTTTTTGTTGTTGAAACTGGACATTTAAATAAAATAATATTGTAACCCTGGGAGTCAGATTCTTACCCTTCCCACGGTTTTATTTGTGTTGTTATTGTTGCTGTTTGTTGTTGTTTATTTGTTTAGTGTCTTTTCTGCACAACTAATTCTATAAAATCTGTAGTCTTTGTGATGTGTTGGCTCAGTTAGGTTAGTGGTCAGCTAATGGTTGAACCGAATCTATCTAAATGTGATTTTCTTTCTATACTTTAAATACATACTTACCAGCAGAAACTAGTATTCTTTTTCAGATTTCAGGTTATTTCTTCTGTATTCAGTTCCAAGGCAGCACTAAAGAGCATAACCCTCTTTGCTATGGCCATTCTCCTCTGGAGCTGTGGAAAGAACTGGAGATGCAGAATTGCTGAGAGTAGGCAATTGAACCAAGAGACTGTGCCTCCCATGATCCAGCCCCCACCCCCAGTCTAGGAGCAGAAATCTGCAGTAGGGGCTAAAATGGCCCCAGTCCCTTTCACCTCAGGTGCCCCAGAACCCAGCTTCTCAGAAACCACGATGGTGCATCCTAGATTTCCTGGACATCACAGCAACAGACCCATGTGACTTGTTTCTTTCTCAAAATTCCCCTATTGCATTTAGAATAGTCCTTTGAAAAGATACAATTATGTCATGTTCCTCTCTCAATTTAGACTCTCTCTTATTGCTTTACACTACACTTAGCCAAAATTTCTGCCAAAACCTGAATGGTTTGCATACACCGTTTTTAAATGACTCTTCTTCCAACCTTACCATCCACTAATCCCACGTCACTCATTATGCTTCCTCTACATTCTCTTTATTACTGTTTCCAAAACAACCAAGACAGTGCATTTCCATTTGCCATTCCCAAAGCTTCACATCCTCATCCCATTGTATTCCACAACGGTGGCTCCTTTTATTGATTTATGACTCAAGTTGGACATATCTCACCCTGAAATTCCTTCCCTTAACGTGTAGATCAGTGATCAGTCTCACATTGCTTGACTGACTTAACAGAAAATATATCTTAGTTCTGCTGTTAAAGTATTGATCAGTAGCAAGGTGCATAACGGTAAGAACTGAGATATTTTTAAAGAAAAAAAGCAAAAGAGGACAATGTCAGAAGGGACCCTATGAAAGAGAGGAAGACAGGCAGGAATGAGGGTAGGAGTTCGATACTGTTCTGCATGAGGGAGTAGAGATCAGGAAGTAAAGGAGCTGTCCTCATACACCACGTGCTCGGTATATGGTAGGTGTTGTCTGTCAGCATATACCAAGCAACGTGGATCTCATGAAATACCAGAAACAGGTGAAAAATAGGTAGTAGACTGTGGGCAACAGAAATCACGATCAGAGAAGAGAAATTGGACTTTGATCAGCAAGGGTCTTCTTATCAGCCCGTGTGACTTTGGCCCTCTCTAGAGAGGCCAGGACACGTCCTTTGGGTCAGGCTGCATCAATTCTTAGGAAACTTGAGTCAGAATCTGAGCCAGGGTATTGAACTCCACTATTACCAATTAAGTGGCATGAGATTTGTGCACGTAATTAAAGGTGTTCGAAATCAGAAAGCTATAGTTATGGTATCAGAAATATTTTGAACCAGAAATCCTGAGTAATGATCCCTCTCTCCCTGGTGAATATGCCAGCCTTTCAACACCAGGAGAGAGAAAGAAATATCAATTTAGGAGGCAAAAGCCCCTAAGAGGTCATGTGGATTTAGGTTCTCAAAAAAGTGAGAATGCGCATCCTGTCAATGTGCCTTTCTGCCAACCTCAACAATGTAAGTGAAAAGGAAAGAATTTTTAGAAACTTCAGAAATGAGGAATAAAAGCCCTTCGGAAATTAATCAAAGGGAGAAATATATTATGTAATGCACCTCCCCAAACAAATGAAAACAAAACCCACTCATGCATTTTAAGTCCTTAGATTTCCACCTAAAGTCATCTTGGGACTATGTATAGGTGAAAACACTTTTAACAAATCTCTGATAGGACTTAAACTTCTAAGCTTTTATGAATATATAAAAGATAACCTTATATTATGTTGTCAAACTATATGATATAGTCAATTTATAATATTTATAATCTAGGCTATGTCTTTTTTTTTCAAAATTGGATTGAAAGCAATACTTTTGGGAATAATCTGAGACCAGTTTTACCAAGTGCTTGGCCAAGTTTGAAAGGGCTGGAGAAGCAGCATATGAACATAGCCTCACTTTTTTCCTCATCCTTTTCAGTATGTTGACGGTTTTTAGAGTCATTACGAGAGTGGTTTGTGCCATCAGAGATAAGAGGCTATCATGTTTCCACAATAAACCTCTATTTTTCAGGCCTTATAGTCCATCCATAAATATTCAGTTCAGGCAATAATTCCAGGTATAATGATTCTGTCCCTCAAAATCCATACTGACTTAACTAAATGATTTTTAGAATCATGGGGGACTCTTGTACTACAAAAAGAATAAAAAAGTTCTATATTTTAATGGCTATGATTTGAATCAAAATACAGTGAAACCCATAAAACACATGCACACAACTCTTCTTTAGCGGATCTATCTTTCGGCATATAATTCGGTTGTAATAGCATTAATTATATTACATACGGTCTATTAATTAATTCAGAATATACTTTTCCACATAGTCTTAGTCCATTTTCTATTGATATAACTGAATACCTAAAACCGGGTAATTTATAACAAAAATAAATTTATTTCTCACAGTCTTGGAGGCTGGAAAGCCCAGGGTAGAAAAGTTGCATCTGGAGAGGGTCGATTCCTGAGGTAGCACAGGGCATCACATGGCAAGGCGACTCATGAGAGAGTCAGCCAAACTGGCTTTTCATAACTGACTCATTCTCATGAAAACTAACTCCCTCAATAACCCATTAATTTATTAACCCATCAATCCATTAACCCATAAATGGAGTAATCCAATCATGAGGGTGGAGCCCTCATGACCCAATCACCTCTTAAAGGCCCCACTTCTGTTGTATTAGGGATTAAATTACAGCATGAATTTCAGAGGGAACAAACATTCAAACCATAGCAAACGTTAATTTTTATAAAGGCAACTAAATGTATAGTTTTTCAACTAAAACTTTTGTAGAACTTTCTAATACTAATCACACATCTTTTTTGTTAGTTTGTCATGGAATTATATCAAAAGCTATCAAATTATATGTCAGACCCTTTGAGTATAATAGTACCTTTAATATTGCCAAGTATATTTGAGACTAATCAATATCTTATATTTGTAGTTTCTAGCTCCTCCTTAGTAACTTTCAGCCTAGAGTTGTCTTCCACCTGAAAGAAAAGACTGCACAAATTTAATGATTTTATCAAATGACAGCTCAAAATATACTACTTCCCCCAGTCTGGAAATTAAAATTGTGAAGATTAGGAAACAGACTAAAACCACATCAACTCATTAAAATGAAACACTCACTTCTTAATTTCACCATTTTAATTTTTATTCTCACAGTTTTACACTTCTTGAATTAAATGCTCATCTTGTCACACTGTTGAGCCCAGCTGTGTGTGTGAAATGCTACTTAGCAAGAATCTAAATAATATTGAAAGAATTTTCCTTGTGCACGTCAATGTGTGTGTGCTCAAAGCCTAACCTAAAGTTTACTTCTCTTTCTTTTCAAACAGCTCTTTTGCGACAGTAGAGAAGTGGTGCATGCCACAGAGGGGCTGGATTGGGAAGACAAAGATGCTCCAGGGACATTGGTCGGAAACGTGGTGCACTCCAGGATCATCAGTCCCTTGCGCCTGTTTGTTAAACAGTCTCCAGTGCCAAAGCCTGGTCCCACGGCATATGCAGATAGCATGGAAAACTTTTGGGACTGGCTGGCCAACATCACAGAGGTTCAGGAGCCATTGACAAGAACTAAACGGAGGCCAATAGTAAAAACGGGAAAATTTAAGAAAATGTTTGGATGGGGCGACTTTCATTCCAACATTAAAACTGTCAAACTAAACCTCCTCATCACAGGAAAAATCGTCGATCATGGAAATGGAACCTTCAGTGTTTATTTCCGACATAATTCAACAGGTCTGGGCAATGTGTCAGTGAGCTTGGTACCCCCCTCCAAAGTGGTGGAATTTGAAGTTTCCCCCCAGTCTACCTTGGAGACCAAGGAATCTAAATCTTTCAATTGTCGCATTGAGTATGAAAAAACAGATCGGGCAAAGAAGACTGCTCTGTGCAACTTTGACCCGTCCAAGATCTGCTACCAGGAGCAAACTCAGAGCCATGTGTCTTGGTTGTGCTCCAAGCCCTTCAAGGTCATTTGCATTTACATTGCCTTTTACAGTGTTGATTATAAACTCGTGCAAAAGGTCTGTCCTGACTACAATTACCATAGTGAGACCCCATACTTATCTTCTGGCTGAATCTTTCCAAAATGATGGAAATGAAGGACATATGTATGTGTGTATTTAATTAGAATGACCAAGAAACAAGCCCAGCTCTTCATGGCAAAAGATTCCTTTTGTTTCTGGCAGTGAACCGTAGTTCCCTATCAGGTTTTCAAATAAAAAAAAAGAAAGAAAGAAAGAAAGACTTTTAAATGTGAAATGTGTTTGTTTTGATCATAAGTACCTTTATCTAAAGAGTCAAACTGTTTATGAAATTGTCGCTTTCATGTAAGATGAACTAAGTTCTAGAACTATTGTTGTTTCTCTGAAAAAATGTCAGTGGGAGCCACGCGTGACAAGAAGGAACTGAATTATGCATGTTACGAACATTGCTCTTAAAATGAGCTTGCTTTTGAAATATGCTTTGGAGGTTTACCTTAAAAATAGCAGATTCAGTAAAGCAACTGAAAAGATGGTATTTGATAGATGAATTGTGTTTCTGACATTGAATTCTTTTTTTTATTGCTGTCTTTTTCTCCACATCTATGCCATTATTTATATGAGAGATGAAAGGGTAAAATTTGTTTCAAAATTCGTGTGTGAAGTTACAGTACCACAGTGGAACCAAGTACGTTATCATCTGAGCTAGAGTTGAGTGGAACGTAATTTAAGCACCTAGCCCTGTGTTGGTCACCATCCTTCCAATTCTCATCTTCGGAGTAATACTGGTGGATGGGGAAAGCAAATCTGGGTATAAGTCATTTCAACAATAATGAAGATCATGATGTTTTTAGACTCTTTTGCCAAATTCAATGGTCTGAGATTATCAAAAATAACATAGAATTTGTATGTACTCTGCAGCTTAAAACTTCTTTCTATTAATTTGATAGTGTGATTTTATATACATATGTAGAATAACTCTGACATTGAAAGAAAATGATTGTTTTCTAGGCTAGAATGGGGGAAAAAATTGGATGAAGAAGAAAATTCCAAGATCATGGATTTATTATTCCTAGCCTCCTGGGTTAAGTTCTCTTTGCATTTAGTTAATCATTTGAATGAGGGATTAAACTGTATGTGAAAATGAAAGTCATATTTAAACATTCCTAATTATTAAGTGCTGACAACAAAGGTACCTGGCTTACCAGGCTTTTGAAGTTACTTCCAAAATAATGTAATTTTACAATCAGTGCCCTTATCTTCAAGAGGGGTTGAACAGCAATCCTCTGTAGTAGAATTAGTACAGAATGGTGGTCTGGTTGGTGAGGAAAATGGCTTCTAGAACTCAGGAAATGTGGAATGCTTAATCTTTTTACAATAGATGTGAATGTCTTTCTCCTGTCTTATCTATAAAATATTAGTTAAAGTAAAACATTAAATTGAGGACTAATGGAAGGTAAATCCTAACCAACAAAAATATTCTCACCACGCTTTCAAAAAGCCAACATCTCTGTTCTCTATTTTACATTTCTGTTCCTTTCCTTTTACTGGTGATATCTGCACAGTGTTCAACTTTGTCTTTTGTAAAAATTGTACTAGGCTTAGTGTGTGGTTGTACAGGCTTGAAGTTTTTGCTCTGAGTTCATCAGGTGCTTTTGTAATTTTGTGGTTGGTGAGTAATATTTCGAGACATCTTATTTTCATCTAGAAACAAGAGTAAAATACTATTTATTGTAAAATATGTGGGAATCATATATGTATATATACTTAGAATTTTCTGTGTACAGAGAAAGTATGTGTACACATTTCTATGTAAATAAAAAGAATTTGCTAGATCTGTCACATGACTTCAAGGTAGTTATTTTTAAAACACTCTTTGTTCTGCTTGTTTCTTTTCCTCCCAATGGTTTATTCTGTGTACCAGTAACTGGCAAACTCACCTGCAATGCATTTCTCATGACTCCTATTGAAGCAGATATTCAAGACAACCAAAGTAATTGCAGTAAGTTTATAAAAAGACACAATCCAGAAGCCAAAACTAAACATGAAAATGACTAGAAATGCTCTCCTTCCAAAATCTTCAGGATAGGGATTTCTCTAGGAACACAAAATTTTTAAAACTAAAACTATAGTAAAATAAAGTCAGGATAGAATCATTATATCCAAAGATAAGAATTCTGGAATACATTAGAGATATGACTGGCTAAGAATTTACAACAGCAGAACAATACATTTGGCAGTTTTCAAGTGATTATAGCACCTGCAAACATACTCTTATAGAAATTGGTAAATTGTGTGGAATACTTTGATTGCCTAAAGGTGTTTTTTACCTCATAAAGCATCTTAAATTAATTGGCTTATCAAATAGAGGATGGAGCCACACATTTTTACTTGCAGTAAAACTATAGTTCACCCAATGTTAATTAATCATAACTTTCAACGAATGGAAATGTAATATTGCCAATTGTAAGAGTCAAATCACAGGAAAACAAGCTCCTATTAGAGATTTTTTTTCTTTATAAAAATCCTATAGAAGATATTCAAGGATCATTTTATATTCACCCCAATCTTCTACTTCATACTGTGCAGTCTAGAACTCTGGGAACATATCCCATTCTGTTTAGTTATTAATATTTCTTTCTCTGCATCCAATTCAGCTCCCCCATAAATAGTACACTTCCAGGAAGTGGAGCAGACCCACAAACAAGTACACTCATGCTTTTCTGTGCTGTTTTCCCTTCAGCTGACTTGAATAGATGCTCTGAAGGACACATTGAAAGAGGCAAAGCAACTGCCACTCTGGGTGCTTCTCTTATGAAAGAGACTCACTGAACTAACCCAAAACCCACCTGGGACTGCTATATGAGAGATAAACAAATACATTGTTCTATATGTCATTGAATTATTAGGATGGATTTGTTACTGAAGCTCAGCATGAACTGACTAATACTACAAATGTATAGAATCTTCTCTACTATACAAGAAACATGAAAAAACAAAGAAATGTGACACCCCAAAAGGAATACAATAATTCTCCAGTAGTAGACCCAAAAGAAAAGAAAATTTATGAAATGTCTGAAAAGGAATTCCAAATAATAGTCTTAAAGAAACTCAATGAGATGCAAGAAAATACAGTTAGACAACACAAGGAAATGAGAAAAACAACTCAGGATCTGAAGGAGATATTCAACAAAGAGATAGATATCATAAAAAAAGAACCAAGCAGAAATTTCGGGGCTGAAGAATTCATTAAATAAAATAAAAAATGCAGTTGAAAGCTTAAGAAACAGGCTAGATCAAGTAGAAGAATTTCTGAACTTCAAGACAGGCTTTTTGAAATAACCCAGTTGGACAGAAAAATAAAAAAAATAAAAAATTTAAGAAGTCCTACAAGATCTATGGGACAGCTTTAAGAGCACATATCTCTGTATTTTGGGTGTTCTGAACAGGGAAGAAAAGGGAAAAGACATTGAAAACCTAGACAGTGAAATAATAGCTGAAAACTTCTCAAGTATTGGGAGAGATATGAACTTCCAAATCCAAGAAGCTCAAAAAGATCCCCAAATAGATTTAATCCAAAAAGGTCCTCTATGAGACACATTGTAGTAAAACTGTCAAAAGTCAAATGCAAAGAAAAAATTTTAAAAACAGCAAGAGAAATGTTTCAAGTCACCCATAAGGGAATCCCCATCAGACTAACAGCAGATTTCTCAACAGAAACCTTACAGGCCAATAGGGAGTGGGATGATATATTCAAAGTGCTGAAATAAATGAAACTTCCAGCCAAGAATACTATATCTGGGAGAGCTATTCATCAGATAACAAACAAAAACTATGGGAATTCACCACCATAAGACCAGCCATACATGAAATTCTTAAGGTAGCTCTACATCCGGAAGCAAAAGAATGTTAACTACCATCATGACAGGAGGTGAAGAATAAAACTCACTGGTAGAGCAGATGTGCAAACAAGAAAGAGAAAGAAATTATATCTTATCACTACAAAGAATAAAAACAAAGAAAAACAATAAAAGAAAAAAAGGAATAAAATATATATGAAACACCCACAGAAAAATTAATGAAATGTCAGGAGTAAGGCACTACCTTTCAATAACAACCTTGAATGTAAATGGATTAAATTCCATATTTAAAACATATAGACTGGCTGAATGGATTAAAAAACAAAACCTAACTATATACTGCCTACAAAAAACTCACTTTACCTGTGAAGACACACATAGGCTAATAATGAAGGGATGGAAAAAGATATTCCACACAAATGGAAGCCAAAAATGAGCAGGAGTAACTATACTTACATCAGATAAAACAGACTTCAAAACAAAAACTATAAAAAGGGATAAAGAAAGACATTATATAATGATAAAGAGATCAATTCAGCAAGAGAATATAGCAATCATAAAAATGTATGCACTCAACACCAGAGTACCCATATGTATAAAGCAAATATTAGTGAATCTAAAGGGAGAGATAGACCCCCCCCTCAGTACAAAAATAGTTGGAGACTTCAACAGCCCTCTCTCAGCTTTGGTCAGATCATCTAGACAAAAAAATTGACAAAGAAACACTATTATTGGACTATAGATCAAATGGACTTGACAGAATGTACAGAACATTTCATCCAACAACTTCAGAATGCAAATTGTTCTCATCATTCTCCAGGACAGAGTTAGTCAACATGTTAGTCAACAAATCAACTCTCGACAAATTTAAAAATATTGAAATCATATCAAGTACCTTTTCAGATCACAATGGAATACAACTAGAAATCAATAACAAGCAAAACTTGGAAACTGTACAAGTACTTGGAAATTAAACAACATGCTCCTGAATGACCAATGGGTCATAGAAGAAATTAAGCAGGAAATCAAAAAATTCCTTGAAACAAATGAAAATAGAAGCACATCATACCAAAATCTATAGGATACTGCAAAAGCAGAACTAAGAGGGAATTTTATTGCAATAAGTACGACATCAAAAAAAAAGAAAGATTTCAACTAGGAAACTAGAAAAGCAAGAACAATTAAATCCCCAAATTAGTAGATGAAAATAAATTAATAAGATCAAAGCAAGCCTAAATAAAAGAGACAAAAAATGATACAAAAGGTCAATGAAACAGAAAGTTGTTTTTTTTTTGAGAAGATAAACAAAATCGGCAAACCATTAGTCTAAAAGAGTGAAGACCCAAAAGCCTAAATAAAAGAGACAAAAAATGATACAAAAGGTCAATGAAACAGAAAGTTGTTTTTTTTTGAGAAGATAAACAAAATCGGCAAACCATTAGTCTAAAAGAGTGAAGACCCAAACAAAGAAAATAAGAAATGTATAACTTCGTATAATGTATGCTATACGAAGTTATGCCCATAGTAATACAAGAATCACTATGGACTATTGTGAACAACTGTATACCAGCAAATTGGAAAATCTGGAGGAAATGGATAAATTTCTGGACACATATAACCAAGCAAGAGTGAAGCAAGGAGAAATAGAAAACCTGAACAGACCTATAATGAGTAATGAGATTGAATCAGTAGTCAGCAGTCTCCCGACAAACAGAAGCCCAGGAACCTGGCAGCTTTACTGCTGAATTTTACCAAAATTTATTAATGCAATCCTTCTCACAATATTCCAAAAAATAGAAGTAGAGGATATATTCCCAGACTCATTCTATGAAGCCAGTATCACCCTGATACCAAAGCAGATCAAAACACAACAAAATCTACAGGCCAATATCCCTGATGAACATATATGCAAGAATTCTCAACAAAATACTAGCAAATGGAATTCAAAACCACATCAAAAAGATTATACACCATGAACAAGTGGGATTTATCCCAGTGTTGCAAGGATGGCTCAACATATACAAATCAATAAATGTGATACACAACATCAACCAAATGAGGACAAAAACATATGATCATCTCAATGCAGAAAATGCATTTGATAAAATTCAACATTCCATCATCATAAAAAGTCTCAATAAAGTAGGTGTAGAAGAAAA